ATATAGTGAGACCCTGTCTCGAAATAAAGGAATGGCAGATGGAGAGATGGCTCGGTGATTAGAGACTCTGATCTAGAATCAATTCCTAGCACCCATGTGGGGGCTCACAACCGTCTATAACTTCAGTCCCAGGAGATTCTATGTCCTCTTCTGGCCTCTGTAGGCACCAGGCACACAGGTGGTACATAGACAAACATGCAAGCAAAATACCCAAACATGTTAACAACAACAACAGCAACAACAACAATAATATAGTGGTGATTTGAAAAAATGATCCCCAAAAGGAGTGGCACTATTAGGAGGTTTGGCCTTGTTGGAGGAAGTGTGTCATTGTGCAGGTGGGCTCTGAGGTCTCTTGGTCTCTTTCCTCAAGCGTCCCTCAGTGTGACAGTCAGCTGACTTCCTGTTGCCTACAAGATGTAGGGTTCTCAGCTCTGGCACCACATCACACCTGCCTCCATAATGGACGGAACCTCTGAAACTGTGAGTGAGTCACACCAACTAAATGTTTTTTTTCAAGAGTTGCCATAGTCACAGTGACTCTTCACAGCAATAGAAACTCTGACTATAATAATAATAATAACATAATAACTACTGAAGTAAAATAAAAGTTTTCCCCACTGGTGAGCACTCTGCTTGTATCCCAACAGAGACCACAGCCTGGGGTTCTCACACTCTTCTCACGGCGGGACAAAGCTGGAAGGGATACTCAGCCCTGAAGGAAATGCTGTTCAGTCTTGGTGAGTTGGAATCCCCGAAAGCTAGAACTCAACTCACAGCTTTAAAATGTTTCAGGCAAGGACTGGGAACAGAAACATGGGCTCTCTCAGCAAAGCTTGCTATGCAAGCGTGAGGACCTGAGCTCAATCCCCAGCACAGACATGAAAGGTGGTCATGTGGGTGCATGTTTGAAACTCCTGCACTGAGTGGAGACAAGAGGATTCCTGGGTTTCACTGGCCAGCCAATCAATCAATGAGCCACAGGCTGCTGAGACCTTGTTCCCAAAACAGACTGGAGAGCTCCTGGGAACAACACCCGAGGCTGACCTCTGATATCTATATGCACACACACGTACATGCATGAACACATATATACCACACACATACAAGTGCACACATTTAAACATGCCATACACATACATGTACACACGTACACGTGCACACATGCATGCATACACATGCATATATGCATGCAGGTACATGTGCCCATATACAGACATGTATACGCATGTATACACAGAAACACATGTATACACACACACAGATATACAAACACACATACATTTTGGGTAAAAGAAAAGGATCCGAGATAAATGTTTTCAATCCTCACACTTCCTACCCAACCCCAGAGTTCCTGCCATAAGTAGCATCTCACAAATATTTTAGCGTTGTCTTCTACCCACTGATCAAATAAGGTTCTCATCAATGCCCTCATAGCATCCATTGTGCGGCTGATCCTACCCTGTAATAAACTGCACCTGTGTGAACGTCTGGGTGAACAGATCTTTGTATGCTTGTGCAAGCACACCTGTGAGGTAGTGACTCACAAGCAGAATCCTTGAGCTGTGGGGTTTATACATCCACACGCTGATGTACAATGTCAACAGTGTGCGAAGCTGCCTGACCCCTTTCCCATTTGTCCTGATTGATTTGGTCTCACCAAGCCTTCTCCTCCTCTTCCCTCCCCTCCCCTCCCCTTTCTCTTTCTTTCCTAATCTGTGTGTGCACACATGAGTGTGTATGCACACCCACCCATAGGCATGCCTGTGGTGATCAGACATTGACTTTGAGGGTCTTACTCAGCAGTTCTCCCTCTGATATTTTGAGACAGACTCTCACTGAACACTAATAGTCTAGACTGGATAACTCCTGCTGTCTCAGTTCCCCCTACCCAGAGCTGGCAGGCTAAGAAAGCCTGCCACAGCACTCAGTTTTCGCCTGAGTCCTAGGGATCTGGACCCAGGACCTCACATCTGTGCAGCAAGCTACCCTCTCCTCAATCCTCTTCCCCAATTTGTTATGCAACCCAGGATGAACTTTCAGTCCTCCTCAGTGTCCCGGCATTACGGCCAGGTATCTTCCCCGTCTCCCTTTCCCCATCAAGCAGTTTTGAGTGTTTCTAGTCCATCATCCTCACTCAGTGTTATTTCACGTGGATTCATGGTAACCTGCGTTGATTGCTCTGCTTCCTTTCTGTTTGTTTATCTCCTTTGTCGCTTCCCCCACAGGGTTGAACTCTCTTCCTCTGGAGTAGGTGAAGTTCCACCCAGGTCTATCCTGTGCCACCCACACAGCCACCCTGTCTGTGGCCTAGAGCTGAGTCACTTTGAAAGGGACCAACTACCTCACACATCCAAAAATAATTTTTATTTGTACCCTTCAGGATAAAGTTAGCAGGTTCCGATGTCTATTGATTTACAAGTGCTCTTTATATATCAGGGAAAACACTCTCTGCCTTCCCTACGGCTTTGCACCTTTAAAGTTGTTCTGCCTCACATCCTCATAAAAATCAAGGCAAAAAGAAAACGTGAAACAGGTGTCCCAGAGCTCAGTGACACACTGCCTTCATGTGCAAAGGCCATCTGTGCTAATTTAGGGACAATACCTTTACTTTTTTAAGACTAATTTTAGACAGACAGGATCTCACTGAGTCGCTCAGATTGTTTGAACTCACTGTGACCCTGGTTGGACTCCATCTTGCCATCTTCTGGACTCAGCCTTCTGAGTAGCTGGGACAACAGATTCCAAGTCCATTTAGGGAACAGTGTGTGTGTGTGCGTGTGTGTGTGTGCGCGCACGCGCTTTTGTTTTTACTTTTTAAATTCACTAGGAAGCCAGAAAGATAACCTTGACCATTATCATAAGGAATAATACCATTTACATCATTGTCCAGCTCTGGACAGGGCCTCTCATTGACTTGCAGTTTCTCAGTTCAGCCATGGCTGGCCTGCAAGCCCAGGGATCCGCCTGTCTCTGTACCCCCAGCTCTGAGATTAAAACTACATGCCAACATGCCCTGGATTTTTACTTAAGTGTTAGGGATAGAACTCTGGACCTCACGCTTGCAAAGCAAATGCTTTATCGAGCCATTTCCCCAGGCTGGGCAGGTAGCTTTTGCTTCAAGACTTGCTTATTTTCATTTTGTAAGAGTTTTACTTTCATGTGTGCATATGCACCATGTGTGCACCCAGTACCAACAGAGGCCAGAGAGAATGCCAGGTATGGTGGAACTGGCGTTAGAGACAGTTAGGACCCTCCGTGAGGGTTCTGGGAACTGAACCCAGGCCCTCTGCAAGAGCAACAAGCCTTCAATCACGAAGATATCTCTGCAGTTCCTGGGATGGTGTTGTTTTATACGTGACTCTTTGCTGAGGCCCCACAACTCATAGGGAGCAAAGCTGGGACAGTAGGCTCTCCATCTGGCTCCAAGTCCCTAGATCTTCTCGTAAAGCAACTTGCTTCCTAACAGTGAGGTCACTCCTAGGGGTGGCAGTACCCAGAGAAAGCCAGAGTTCCAGCAGATGCTGGCTTCATTCCCTCTAGGTGTGAGGATGCAGGGAAGAGCATGGGCTCTTCACTCTACTGTCTGCATACTCCTCAGTGAGAAAGGCAGGAAGGAGGATGCAATTCTAACACAAAAAGTGTGTCAGGAGACGGGGGTCAAAATGAAATTCTTAAACCCGTCTCTTGCTCATTCTGCCAGGAGCATCATCCAGTCAGGAATGGGTGTGGACCATTGCAGTGTAGCAGCTGTAGTGGTGATAGGAGGAGGAGCCAAGGGCGGGAAGGGCTAGCGATTGCCAGGCAGCAGGACCTGGCGGTGAGCTTTTATTACTCCTGGCACTGGGCCTCGGCCACCCATTACACAAACCTGAGAGGGGCCGTTATAAACTATGAGCCCTTGAGCAAATCACTGTCCGAAAGGTTACCTTTCTGAAAACAGTGACCTATTAAAACCACTGGGCCAGAGAGCAGGGTCCCTAGAGGGGAGTGTGGGGCTCTGTATGGGGCTCTGTATGGGCTGTGCCCTGCATTGGTGGTTTGTAAGATCTGTGCTCTTCCCACATGGCCTGGCTGGATGAAGAGGACGGCACCTGGGAATCTGTTTCTTGTAATTTTTCTGTGGGATCAAGGATGTGTTTGTTCCCTGTCGTAGGGAACCTGAGAAAAAGCCCCCAGTAAGGAGCTGGGGGTGTGGCTCAGTGGTAGAGCACCTGCCTAGACTCCTCCAGTGAGGGGCCGGAGACATGGCTTAGTGATAGAGCTCTTGTCTAATTTGAGTGATTCCCTGGCTTCAGCCTCTAGCACTGCAAAAAAAAAATCCAAGCAAAACCCTGTCATTTTTCTTCAACAGAAAGCATTTTTTGAGAGGCTTCTTTGAAAGCTGTTTTTTTTTTTTGCCTTTCTGTTCGTTCCCAGATTTCAATCAATCCCAGCATTTTCCAGCTGGCTTGATCCATGCAGCCACACAAGTGAGAGCAGTGCTTTTCCCAGGGTAGATTTCCTGGGCATGACTCTCTGATTTCTTTTAATGCTCACAAGCATCCTATACGACTGGGATTGTAAACAGGGAAACCGAGGCTGACGCAGCCTGGGAGAGATAACCTACCCAGCTGGGCTGCCGGGGGAGCAGTCAGGGATGCTGTGCCTCCAAATCTGACCTCAGACTTTAACCTTGGATTGTGCCTGGGGCTTGGTTATTCATAGCAAAGGCAGGGAGTGGCAGGCCCATCTTTCCTTTAATTTTTTTTTAAAGACTTATTTTAAACACAGAAATTTGTATGTCTGTGTGTGGATATTCACAGGGAACTGCAGTGCCCATGGAAGCCGGAAGAGGGCGTTGTATCTCCTGGAGCTGTGAGCTGGGATGTGACTGCTAGACATTGAACATGGGTCCTCTGCAAGAGCAGTACTTGCTCTTGACCATCAAGCCGTGTCTCCAGCCCCAGGACATCTTCCTTAATTGTCCCTTGGAGTAGGTGGACCTTATGTCTATGTGTTACTTTCATTGGTTAATAAAGAAACTGCCTTGGCTTTTTGATAGGGCAGAATTCAGATAGGTGGAGTAGACTGAACAGGATGCTGGGAGAAAGAAAGCAGAGTCAGGCAGACGCCATAATTCCCCTTCCCGAAATGGACGCAGGCTGGACTCATGTCGGAAAGCCACGACCTCATGGTGGCATACAGATTATTAGATATGGGTTAGTCAAGATGTGGGAGTTAGCCAATAAGAGGCTAGAACTAATGGGCCAGGCAGTGTTTAAATGATTACAGTACCGTGTAATTATTTCGGAGGGTAAACTAGCTGGGATCCGGGTGGGAATGTAGCCTGCCACTCCTTCTACAGATTGGCGCCCAGAGCAGTGGTTCTCAACTTTCCCAATGTTGCGACCTTTTAATACAGTGCCTCATGTTGTTGTGACCCCCAACCATGTAATTGTTTTCATTGCTGCTTCCTAAACATAATTTTGCTACTGTTGTGAATCATAAGGTAAACGTCTATTTTTCAAGGGCTTCGGTGATCCCTGGGAAAGGGTCATTTGGCCCCTAAAGGGGTCACCACCAAACAGGTTGAAAACTGCTTTGGAGGATGCTGAAATCAGCAAGGTTGTCTACTAGAGAGTGACATCACAGAGCTGGTCCCATGGCCTGTCAACCAATCCAGACCCTAGACCCTGAAGAGGGAACACTGACCCAACTGCCCTCTCCTCTTGATTCTATGTATGTGTTTTAATTCAAATATCACAGGTCTGACTTTGCAAAACAGCAAGCCAAGATATGGTCTGAGCAGGGGGCTGCCTGGGAAACTGGCCCTTATAAGACATAACAATGCCCCATCTTTATGACCTTCAAAGCAGAGAGAAACAAGATCAACCTTTTTGTTTTGTTTTGTTTTTAACATACTGAGGAAGCTGAGCCTGGTAGTGAAAGCCTACCCCATCCTCCCAGATACTCTGGAGGCTGAGGCAGGAGAATGGCAAGATAAAAGCCAACCTAGGCTACAAAATGAATTCAAAGAGCTGGCCTGAATAAGTGAGACATTGTCAGACACACACACACACACACACACACATGCACACACGCACGCACGCACGCAGAGAGAGAGAGAGAGAGACAGAGACAGAGACAGAGACAGAGAAAGGAAAAGAAAGGAAAATGAAAGTCTGGCTGAGGATAAGCTCAGTGGTAGAGCACCTGCCTAGAATCCCCCAGTGAGGGGCTGGGGTGTGGCTCAATGGTAGAGCACCTGCCTAGAATCCCCCAGTGAGGGGCTGGGGTGTGGCTCAGTGGTAGAGCATCTGCCTAGAATCCCCCAGTGAGGGGCTGGGGTGTGACTCAGTGGTAGAGCCCCTGCCTAGAATCCCCAGTGAGGGGCTGGGGTGTGACTCAGTGGTAGAGCACCTGCCTAGAATCCCCAGGGAGGGGCTGGGGCATAGCTCAGTGATGGACCCTCATCCCACCTATCCTCAAAACACAGACCCAGAGCCCCATGAAAACAATCCCTTGTAGGAGAGGTGCTGTAAAGCTGCATAGCAAAGTGGAGAAGGATGTCCAAGCATCACCAGCCCGCCTCAGCCTGGGATCCTTACTGACCCCTGCAGTGTCTCCCATACTCTTCCTTAAGTTCTTTGTCATCAGTGCGTACTGCCTGCAAGATAGGCATCTCAGGGCAAGCAACCTCACAGTTCACCTTCCTTCTGCGGCCCCATGTGTCAAGCACAGAGCCACCCAGGAAGTGTTCACTGGTTGACTCAGACAAAAGCATTGGCATCCTCATGAGAGAGTTTGGTCTCTCTAGGCTTTCTCTGAATAGCCCAGGCTAGCCTGGAACTTCCAGTTCTCCCCACTCAGCTTCCAGAGCTCCTGGTAACCTTGTAATTTGCCTACAGGTCTTTGCTCTAACGATTTTCCTCTTCGGTCACGGGAGGATCGTTCTTGTGCAGGCTTGACGCTGCGGGGGTGGTGACTTACCAGCCCGCCTTTCTGATAGGTTGCTATTAGAATCTGTACAGGTGCAGGCCATTTCCCTGTGATGTCGCAAGGCTGAGGGCTGCTGGCTTTACCCTGGATGTACCCATTGCAGGCCCAGGGGATCTATTTTTGCTTCAGAGATGCAGTGGGGCTGAAGACAGCTGGGATCTGGGGAAGCACCAGGGTGAAGAAGCCCTGGGGTTAAATTCCTGTCCATAAGCTCACTGATTTACTGCATGAGATTTCCAGCACACGTTATGCATGAGAAGGTACCGAATAAATGTTGGGTGAAGGACCCCTACCCCCACTTTCTAGTAGGTCATACCTTCCAGAAAAGTCATAAATGTCAAAAGAATTTTTTTTTCCAACCTACAAATCCAAGTGACTGGTCATTTGGAGATGAATGCTGAGCTGGTGGCCCCTTGCTATGGCAGTGACGGGAACTGCAGCCTTAGGCAATAGTCCTTAGCTGTCCCCCAAGGCACAAATATAGCCTCACAATGTGTCATTCTCTCTTGAATCCAGAACCCCTAAAGGACAGAACTCTTCAAACTCCCCATCGAGTACAGAGAGGTGACTTTAAGCATTAGGCCATTGGCCCCAAACATCCAGGCTCTGGCACCTCTCTTTGGAAAGTAAGGAGGACCACCTTCTCAAGAACCCCTGAGTTATGCTCTCTTGTGCTCTGCAAACCTCCAGCCATTCAGGTGCCAGCCAAGTTCTGCTCCAGCCTCTGTGGCAGGTGCATTGGGTGGGGAGTGGAGGAGTGGAGGGGTGGAGGGGTGGCTTGGCGGGAGGAAGCATGGCGGCGGGGGGTGGGGGAGTGGCGGGGTGGGAGGGTAGAACTACATTCATTCCCAAAACCTTTAGGGAGGGCCAGGGGAGGAGAGAGAAAAATAGGGAGGGAACTAAAGATTGGAACCCTTACCACCTCAGGAGACCACCTACCTGCCCTACTGCCTCTAGAGCACAGGTGGTGTCCCCAAAGTATCTCCTCTTCGCGTCCTCCTCTTACCCCCAGCCCTGCTGCACGTACCTGGGGCGCTCATGCTTCTCAGACTCCCGGTACTTCCTCCACGCAGACCTCCAGTTTCCTCCAGTGCTGGGCTTTGGCCTCCAGCAGGCACCCGTCTGAGGTGGCCACCTTCCCTGGGCCTTAGAGACCCGTAGGGATGCCAGGGGCCAGAGCTCCCGAGATCAGAGGACTCAAAGAGAGGGCATAGGGAAGAGAGAGAGAGAGACAGAGACACACAGAGAGAGAAGAGATAGGAGACAGAGAGAAAGTGTGTCATAGGCTGGTAGGGGCGGGGAAGAAAAATGCAAAACCCCGACAGGAAATGAGACTTGAAAAAAATGCAAAAGGTTAGAAAAGGAGATAAGAAACGGGGAGGGGCTGAGTTTGAGTCTAAGGCTTGGGGTACCCGGCTATAATGAGGTAAGGGATGGATGGGCCTGAGGTGCTGGCTCTGGGTCAGGGGGAATGAGTGTTGAGTCCAAGGTGGCCAAGCCACCTACTTTAGATGGGGTGAAACTGAGCCAGCCTGAGCTGTCAGCCACAGATTCCAGTGTGGGCTTAGGAGGGGAGCCCCCTTTTTAAGGTTTTCTAGGGTAGTTTGAAATGGGGAGTCTTGGATTTCTTCACTGGGAGGATGTGGAGGATGGCAGTTGCTCCTACCACGGAGACTGAAGTTTGGTCAGAAATGGAACCAGGAACCAGAAAGACAATGCCCCTAAAATAAATAGCTGACACTTGCTTCCAACACCAGGCTGGGAGAAATAGGCTTGCCTTGAGAGCAAACTCTTGGAAAAGTTAATTACAATTACTTTTCAAAGTGTGGGGTGGGCATGGGGCATGTTCGCACTGGTTTTTAGAAGATGCTGTCTGTGTTTGTCTTTATGAATCGCTTTCTGCCTTCTTTCTGGAGTCTCTCACTGAGCCTGGAGCTGGGCTGGTGGACAGCAAACTCAGTGACACCCCTGTTTCCACCTCCACAGCACCTGGCTTGCAGACCTGGCCAAACCTGGCTTTCCGGGGGTGGGAGGTGCTGGGGATGTGAACTCAGGTCCTCCTGCATGCACAGCGAGCGCTCTAGAAACTTTTGACTCTATGAAGGAGAGCTCCCCTTCTGCCCCATGCAAGGTGAGAAAGGAGTCCACCTGCTTCAAGACAACTGAAGTGTATGTAGATGTACACAGGGCTCAGGGCACACACACCAAGGGTGACAATTTCTCACCACCTGAACAAAACATGTAGTTCACACCCACATTGTGTTCCATCAAAACATGAGACTTCTATGTCCCTTGCATGCATGCCCTGGTCCCCTTCCAGTCACGATGACACCTGGTCGCAGCCCCCGCAGCCCCAGCTGAGACTAGTTTGCCCATTCAGGGGCAGTGTTCCTTTTAATTTTTAAATTGATGGAGATTTAATTCAGGGTCTTCTGTATAATAAGCACACACTCTGCTGCTAAGCTGCACCCCAACCCCTCACTGGGGGGATTCTAGGCAGGTGCTCTACCACTGAGCCACACCTGAGCCCCTCACTCACTGGGGGATTCTAGGCAGGTGCTCTACCACTGAGCCACACCTGAGCCCCTCACTCACTGGGGGATTCTAGGCAGGGGCTCTACCACTGAGCCACACCCCAACCCCTCACTGGGGGATTCTAGGCAGGTGCTCTACCACTTAGCCACACCCCAGCCCCTCACTGGGAGAGTCTAGGCAGGAGCTCAGTGCTGAGTTTCATCCCCAGGCTCTTGTTATAATAGGGCTTTCTTGTCAGGACCACCAGCCCACAAATAGTAGCATAAAGACTTATTATTAATTATGAAAGCTGGGTCTTAGCGTAGGCATTTTTTCCTAACTAGCTCATATAACTTAATTAACCTGTTTCTATTAATCTGCCTTCTGTCACGTGGCTTGGTTACCTTTCCCCTGTCCCTTACGTCTGAGTGGTTCTGTGTCATACGCAACACCTGGTCCTGAACTTCCCAGGACTGGACGCAAACCTAGGCTCCCTTTTATCCTTCCCTCTTGCTCAGTCTTCAGTTTCTGACATTTATGGATGGGGCTGGATGCAGGTGCAGCCCACTAAGACTTGGCTTCTCCCCACTCAAATCTTAAAGATGTTAAACTTTCCGAGAGTGTAGAGGAATGATAGCGTGCTCGCCGTGACCTTTCCACACCTGATTCTAGAATTGACATTCTGGTGCATCATTGTCTTTCCAACCATCAATCTTCATTTTGGGTATTTCATAACAGGTAACAGACACTGGTATGGTACCCTTTAAGTAGTCCATCCTGTATGTCACTGGTGAGAGAGCTGGGTCTGTCCTCATATTGGGGTTTGGACTCAGAGCATCACATACGTCAAGAAAGCTATGGCCTTAGGCCTCTTTTTACTTTTATTTCT